TCATGCCATTAGAAAGAGGATCATGAAAAACCTATAAAAAAATGGTTCATGAAATTTTAGTTCACTCATAAAGCTAAAGTCCGCCTGCTCTAGCAAAAAATGCCCACTGTGCCCCCCCCCAGCGAAAAAAACTTTTTATTTCACATTTCGATGGCGCTTACAGGAAGTAATGCTTACTGTGCACGTAACTTATTCTAAGAATTCGAGATCGAAACATTGAAGCGTTGCCGTGTTATTGTATGACAACGAGCAAAATGGGGCTCTTAGCAAAAATCTATAGCCTTTATTGGTAGAAAGAGCAGAAAACTGTGGGCGGTCTTAAATAAAAATAGAGACTTAAATCTAAAATTTATCTGTAGCGTTTTTCGAATTTCGCTTCCGTTCATTTTCTACGTGTGTTTTAAATGTGAAAATAACCCTAATTCGGCGGAGTACTTGTCACAAAATTTAGATAAATGTCTTAGCTGCAAAATAGAAAAAGAATGAAGGTTTTACGACGAATCGTCTAGAGGTGGATACAACTTTGCTGCGTCAAAACCATTATTTTAAGCAATGACGTCATCACTTCATTAATTATAGTTCAGCGCCTTTAGCAAAACTAGTATAACTCTGCAAGACGAAGTCGTACAAACCTGCTGGGCATCTCATTCTGATCGGAACACTCTGCTCAACATAGCTCCATGTCTGTTAAAACGGACAACTTAAAACATTTTAACTAAAATGTGAAATTTAGAAAAAAGTGATTTTTAGGGCTTTCAGAAATCTTTTTTAAAAACCTCCAAAATCATTGAAGTTTTGGCAAACCGAGGTGGATTCTGAAAGATGATACTTTGGAATACTGAACCATATGTTTACTTCAGTTTCGAAGGTTTCAAAGAAAACATCGAATTCTGTTGGAGTCAACCATGAATTGTACAAGGCTGATAAAAATTTGAACTTGTACATGAGCTGACTCAAGTGACGTTCAAATTTAGTTTCTTTTGATTTTAATGAACGAAAATCGGTTTAAAACCTACAGTTTATATTCTGCAGATGAAACGGTGAAAACACACTTTTTTGTTTAATTTTACATATCTGGCAGAGCTCATGGTTCTGAACAATGTTGTTGTTTAGCGCTGTATCCAAAGCAACTTCTAAAAGAAGAGGGCGTTGGTTTTTTTCGTGCGATTTGCACGAACTCTCCAGAATTGGAAATTGATGAGTACTAATTAATCTTATTGAACTTTAACAAGATTTTTACATCAGTAGATAGGGAAATGCCTGGTCTATCCACCTGTGAAGTATGGTCTTTTCCCGAGTAAAAACACATCAGGTGCGCTAAAAATAATTTGAAAATAAAAAACACTATTCAGAATTACCCCAAATTAGTCTACGGGTAAAAGAGTAGACTAATTTATCCTATTAAAAATTTGAACATTCAGATCGCGTATTATTCCACTAGCGACTCTTGCTTATTCTCTTTTGGGCTTTAATTTGTTACTGTTTAACTTATATCCAAACAAAGTCACTATGTCGCACTTTGAGAATGATCTTTGTTGCAGAGCCGACATCCATAAGAGTCATAGACAGGCGAAGCCTCTGGGCTCATCAGGTCTGATTTATATTTTTGAAAAAGCAAGAAAATGGGTCTTTTCCATCTACAACGTCATGTTGTCCTGATATTATACATCGAAGAAACTTGTCATAAGCTTGCTATCGAAAAAATTACGGTTATTCAACATCACGAAAACAGCAGTAAATCGAATTCTTCTCGGTTCGACATTAACGACCGAAGAAGTTAAATATGCCCATTTGTAGGTCTCTTTTTCTTCTAAAAAAAACAGAACTTGTTTTTTTACATTGAATAAAAGGGCGGTTCCTTTCGCTATTTCCACTATCTTTTTGTTTAAAATAGCCGTGTTTCATGAAAGACAACATTTTGATATAAAAGAAGAATGATCGTTGGGTTCTTCTTAACAAATTATATATAACTAAAGGTCAATTGATTATTAAACTTTTCTTTTTCAGCGAGACTACATAGTTCGCTATTGTGTGAAATCTGATAGAGACCCATGTTGCGGAAACCGGACTAAAACCGGGGGTTAACCACGGTTATCTTAAAGAACCGATGGTTAACCTCACAATTAACCGGAAAAACGCACGGTTCCGACGGTCGGTGCCGATCGTTTTTCTGGTTAATTGCGAGATTAACCGTCGGTTTTTCTGCTGTGTTACCTATGGTTTCAGCTGAAATAACCGCAGTTAACCGTCGGTTCTTAAAATAACCGTAGTTAACCGCCGGTTTTGAGAACATGACGAAAGTCATCCATGTGTCGATCGGGACTATAAACTGTGTGACATTAGTCTAACGCTCTACTTCTTAACATAGTTGAAGCTTCGTTTTCTGCCAGTAAAATTTTACACAGTCACAAAACTATGTACATTCGACTATTTGAAAATATTATCTTTATAACACAAATATAAAAGCGTCTTGGATACACCGAAAGCATTTTTTTATTGTTTATCCTATATTTTAAACAACAGGAAATGAATAATGGCAAGAGACATTAGGTAGCTCAATCAAACACGTTCAAGTGTCCTAAAAATCGCTATTTTATATCGATTAAAACAGCAGTCTGTGTGATGAAGGTCAAACAGTGCTGAGATATATCTAAACACATACACTTATCATATTTCTACTTCTTCTAATCACATTCATTTATCGAATAATATCTCCCATTTCTGGGTATTACTATTGAATATATTTTAGACTATTAAGAAAAAATGCCTCAAATTCAACTGACGAGGAAAAGTCCCCGAGTGCCAACTTGGATTTTCCTTGAGATATGCTTCATTATGAGTTATTTTTTATGCTGATCACGAATCTGATATCCGTTCATCCCCATACGGTCTTTCAGAACCACTGTTCAAATTCGGTGTCTTTAGGAACCCATAGTGAACTTTCGTCTGAACAAATTCTGATAGTGCCAGATTGTAGAGCATATCAAATAACCCATGTGGACAAGTTTTGAGAAATACAGGACAAGTGTTCACTTAATTATAAAAATTTGGCTCATTCTTAATTGAGATCACTTTTTATAATTAAAGAAATAAAAATGATCTCAGTTTGAAAATGGCATATTGCATCAATTTTGAAAAGTGATCTCGGTTTGGAAAACGAACTGGTAACTCCTGTTTTAATAAAATATAGATTCCTAAACTGTAGATAATAAAAATTGTACAAAATACATAGAGTGAAGTGAAAGTCTAAAACATTGTATTGAAATGTCTACGTTTAATAAAAGTTTTTTCGTGTATCATACAGTCGTTTTAAATGTGCTTTACTTTGTAACAATCCAGCCTCTTATCCAATTTTGGGTTCTTCATTACCAACATCATTACAAATTTCCAGTGCTGCTAATCCACACTGGAATGCAGATGGTACATTTAGAACATCACCAAAACTATTTTATCAAAGCTACGGTATTCATACATGGGATGAATTCAGCATGAAGTCGGTTGTTTATGCTACATTACCTAATAAGGAAGAGGTGTCGTATCAGGTACTATTAAATGCACTAACAACTAGTGTAAGAATCCATATTTTAATAAAGTAGGAGCTACAAAGTTTTCACTTCATTCTATGTATTTTATATAATTTTTATGATATACAGTTTAGGAATTTATATTTTATTAAAATAGGAGCTACAAGCTCGTTTTCCAAACTGAGATCATTTTTCAGAATTGATAGAATACGCCATTTCCAAACTGAGATTATTTTTATTTCTTTAATTATTATAAAAAGTAATCTCAGTTATGAATCCTCGAAAAATTTCAGTGTTTTATCCAGCCAAAATAAGGAACATTGAGGTATTCTTCCCATAAAAAACCTATAAGTCAATGAAAACTTGTCCTTTATTTCTCAAAACTTGTCCACAGGGGTTATTTGACATGCTCTACAATTTGGCACTATCAGAATTTGTTCAGATGAAAGTTTACTATGGGTTCCTGAAGATACCGAATTTTTGACTAAGACAAAGGAATAACAGATGAATATTAAAGAATTTGTTTCTCACATAATTTTACAGTTGGATGAAGATAATATGCTTACTGATCGGTGAGAATCAGTCCATTAAATTACTTCTTTATTTATTTATCTAAATGCTTATTTTCTTTTCTCATAAACAAGAATAAACACATTACAACATCAATGTAATTTATAAGTACGATGATAAAAATGAGAACTGAAACTGAAAATAAGAAATAAACACAAAAAAAAATAGCTGTCAAAAACGAAACAAAAACATCATCCGATGATGATGTTTGTTGAAATAACTCATTTCAGACCAGATTAATTTCTTTTAGTGATCTTAAAATAACTCTTTCTCGTTTTGTACAGTGGAAGCACTTCGTATTTTAGTGTTGATCATAGAAAAAAAGAGAAACAACAAAAATAAATCACAAAAAAAAAGCAAACGAGATAGAAGAAGATAGTAACTTTTCAGTATTTAAATAAACAACAACAAGAAACGACTAGAAATTTGTTGATTTGACTAAAAGCAGAAAAGACAAATAACTCTGTTTTATCAGCATAGAGAGAAAAACAAAAAAATAATGACTACAAATGAACATTTCATTTGATTATCATTTTTACAAAAAAGCTGATATAGTTTTTATTTTTTTTTTGCGGTACTAAAAAACAAGAGTATCGTGAAATAGCAAAGATAGAAAAATGAATAGAATGTATGTGCCACTGAATTTTAAAACAAGAAGAGTAGACAAATAAACAAACAAAATACAACATAGAAACAACAGCAACGGTAATATCAATTAAAAATGCAAAAACGAATTACGTCAGACGAGAAGATATAGAACAGAGTATGTAACAATGAAATCACAATGATGTTTGTAATTTTTTATCGGGCAATAAACTCGAATAATAATTAACTACATTTTCAACTCAATTATATGGCACATATCTCAATTGTCAAGTAATCTGAATAAAAGTATGTCTTCTACTTTTAATTATTATTGGTGTTAGTACCAAGATGATGATTAGAAAAGTCGGACGCTGTTGTTGTTTGTGTATATTCATCGTCATTAACAGTATCAGTTAGATTAATATTTTTCGAATCAGATTTCTCTAATGTTGCTTCAATTTGATACGGACGACAATATTTATAACGATGGTTCATATGTTGACTGTAGGAACCTAGAGAAGAAATAAAATAATTGAAATGTATGTTTCTACAGCATTCAACATTTAATTTGTCAAAATTTTTATTTTCAGTGAAATTACTGATGATAAAACAACGTCAGATAAATGTTAAATCAAGGTAAGTAAAAGTAGCAATTTATTGAAACATTTAACCTTCTAAGGATATCAACTTTAATATTATACCTGAATGACTAAAACGTTTGAAACATTTTGAACATTGAAATGGTTTTTCGCCAGTGTGTAATCTACGATGTTCAGCTAAATGATGTTTATGTTTAAAAGCTAAAGAAAGAGAAAAATGGTGTTATTTAAACGGAAAAAGATAATAAAAAATGGGTCAATTTTTACCTTTTTGACAAACATCACAAATAAATGGTCGAACACCTAGAAAGCAAATAAGATAACTATTCATTATTAAGAGTTAAAAATGTAGTTGTATTAAAATTCTGTACCTGAATGTTCATATTTATGTCTGGCTAATGAACTTTGTTTACTAAACATTTTATCACACAAATCACACGCATACATATCACCCGTCATATGATTTTTCCATGATTTTCTTTTTCGAGACGATAGCGATTGTCCACCACCACACATCGATGATTCATCGTTTGATATACTGTCAGACGAATAATTCATACTGTCTGGACTAGATGAGTCGCGCTAAAACAATACTCTAATGATTAAAGCATTATGTTCATGAATAGGTTAAAAAAAATTTACCTTAATCCATTCAAGTTTATTTCCGTTATTCACATTATTATTATCAAACCATTTAAATGATAATTCATTGTTTGTATTAGTAATTGAATGATTTTGAAGTGGAGTTGACATGTGTAACGCAGCAAAATGTTCTGTATTTATTTTGTGGTTTGTTTTAGCATTTGTCGTTCCATTCGTCTTTAAATATAAAGAATCACTGTTACTTTTTGAAGTTAAACATGATGATGTTGATGATAATCGTGCAATTTGTTTTTTAACAGTTAAATCTAACGGTTCGGTTTGTTCTCGTTGCGGTGGTGGTGCCAGTACTGGTTTGGCTTTTGTTAAAGAATAAGACGATGATACAGTAGGTGAAGAGGTTTGTGCATTGGCGGCTGCCGCTAATAATGATGCTCTCAAATGATAATAAGCTAATGGAATAAATGGAGACGGTAATGGTTGAGATTGTTGTTGTGGTGTTGGTAACGTTGGAAGAGAGAGAGGAATGTAAGATGATGACGTTGTTGCTGGCATTGATTTGAGATAGTTATTGTTGTTAGTATTTCGATGATTATTAACATTAGCTGCATAGGATGTATGCAATATATTAAACCAATGTTGAACATGTTGTTCACTTAATCCCACACGCTTGGATATTTCGTGTAATTCATTTGAATTTGGATTTGGATTCAAAGCATAATGGGCACGCAGCATGTTTATTTGTTGCTTATCTGGCAAAAAGCTGTGGAATGATGGTGAAGAGGTCGATGAGTTGGTTGGCGTTGACGAGGTAGATGAATAACCATTTGTTACTTCAAGTGTTGATGACTGTTTTAACTCATGTTCAGATGCTGGTAGACGATTTTTTGTTTTTCTTTCATAAATTGGGGTAGTGGAGGTTGTCATTGTTGGCAAAATTTCGCCAGCTTCTAATTCAGTATTAACATTATTCGTGTCATTATTATCATGTGAGGTTGAAGATGAAGCTAATGGATTCTCATTTGAGTGATGCATGATACCATTTTCAGGTGAACTTGTATTTGTAGTAGTATTTGGTGTTGATGTGGATAAATACGCCCATTGTGATGTCGACGGTGATGATGATTTTGAGCCAGAACGTCGACGTTTTTTTAGTGTTCGATCACATTTTGGTGATGGTGAAGATGAAACTGGAAATAACTGTCCATTTAATCTTTGATAATCTATGTTGTTGTTATTATTCAATTTTTTTGATGAATCATGTCTGGCATATTGAATTAGTTGTTGTTGTGAAAAACTCGGAATGTATGGATTCGGAAATGCCGATAAGAATGCTGGCGGTGGTAGAGAAAGATTTCCATTTGCAGCAGCAGCGGCTGCTGCTGCTAATGCGGCCGCTAAAGCTGCTGGTCCAACGCCAAATCTTGCATCTATAGAAATAATGAAGTACGTGAGCATGCGACTGTTCAATTTACAATAGCTAAATATTTACTTAGAATAGCAGCTGAATTTTGTGTGACATTGGCACTAGCCATCGTTTGATACGAATAACATTTTTTTGATGTCATGTGACTTGAATATGAGCCAGAATGCGAAAACCGTTTTCCGCAATTACCACACACGAACGGTTTTTCTCCAGTATGTATTCTCACATGTTCCTAAAAATATCAATCGTATTAATAAAAAGTAAGTTAAATTATAATATTGTATTGGCTCGTACTTTTAAATGATGTTTAAATTTAAATGCTTTGGAACAATGCATACATTTAAATTTTCTTGTTTGTGGATCAATTTCATGACTAAGCATATGACGTTGTAAACGGTAGATATTCGCAAATATCTTTTGACATAACTGACATGCAACTTGACTAGCAATGTGACTCGATAAATGATGTTGAAGATCATCCTTAACATAAGATGAATATTTATTTAAAAATATAGCATGATTTTTCGCTTAATAGATATTAACATTCTTACCTTATTTGTAAATGTTGCATTACAATGCGTACAATTGATAATTTCGGCATGATCTTCATGCAATTGTGCAGCATGAATTTGTAATTCATTTAATTGAACAAATTCATCGGCACAATATGGACATTTTAATGGTGCACACAATTGAGATTCAACAGTCGGCAGTCTTGTGTCTGAAAAAAGTCGAAAAACTCAGAATGAACGAACGAGACTCGAGTACTGCTAACACACTTTCTAATTTTTTCTATCATTTGGTGAGTATATGCATACTGTGTTTAAAACTGTAGTCTATATTATCTTAAAAGTTGTCAATGTCAATTAATATTTGTGGACTTGATGATATAATACTAGTTTGTACATGTGAGAAAAGAACGATTACTAACATGAAAGAACCACTTGAAGTTCATTAATTTTTAAAGAAAATTACTGCACACTTTCTTCTTTTCTACCTAATCATAATCGATTGAACTATTACGAAACTTATCAATGACATTTTCATACACTTCAAAAAACGAAGCATATACATATATCACAACACTCTACCATCTGGGAGTATTTTCCATTTTTATCTTAGTTCTTGCTGATCTCAATTCTGTATGCTAGAGCATAGATTTCATTTTCAATTGTATTAGAAATCTATGAATCTTTTTAAATATCTGTTATTAGAAACAAAAGACTTATCTATTGTACAGATGAAACTTTTGTTAATTCAATAGAAATGCAACAAATTTCAATAATTGTCTAATCTTCGTTATTATGCATAGAAATGATAACTACTGGTATTGGTCATTCAGATCAAGATAGCATACAATTTTCATTCTTAAGAGCAGTAGTATCATAACAAATACATATGTTCAAAAGCAAGAATAGATATTATACAAACACACTTAGTTCAAGTAAATGACCTACATACTTTAGTTAATCGTTATCTATCGATTTATGTTCATTACTCTCCGTGTCTTTTCTTCTTATTGTATTTATAGTACTTTCGGATACCACTTTTGGATATGAATAAAACATTATTTCTAGCCAAAATTCAAGTCAAATCAAACTAATTGGAATTAAAAAGTCCAAAGAGTTTGAAAATAGAGTAGAATTACAATTCGTAACCAACACATTTATGAAGATAAGCTGTACAATTATGTCAAATACTTGGTCATGCCATGATGTCTGTTATCTATTGGCATTGCCTATTCAGTTATTTTGTTTTGTTTTGACACGACAAATGTGAAAGTTAAAATAGTTTTATTGTTCAAAAGCTGACCACCCAAATTGATCAAAGTCATTTGATAAGATAAAGAGATTGTTGTTATTTTTTATGTGGCACATGGTTTAAAAAAGACCTTTTTGATATAACACCGCTAGTTCAGTAGTTGATCAATGATCTCTTTCTTTCTTATTATCCAGAACAATAATTTTCTCTTTTTTTTTTCTCGTGCCGGTACTTATATATGTATTAAAATTCAAAAGGATGTTCAATAGTCACTTATTTAAATGTCCTCAATGTATCGTCATGTATACCAATGTAAAAGAATGAAGACAAATCACAAGATGAGAAGATCATTATTTGTAACAGACTGAAACAGTCGGGCTTTTGTTCGTCACAGCTCAACAGGTCTTCTATATATAGACAGATCGACAGATAGATATCAGAATAAAAAAAAATGAACTGATCATTCTTACTACTACTTCGACCACTCAGGGGACATTGATCAAAGACTTTTTTGTCATAACAATTAAATTATCGAACCTTCTGTCTCTTTACTACCAGACTCTCATCAAAATTAACTTGAAATTTATTCTTTATAGATCAGATGATTTTAACTCTCATTAGTAACAATTGTTTAGTTTACTTACCAGGTTGAGAAAAAATCTCTTCCTCTTCCTCTTCATCATCTAATTCTAAATCTTCATGTTCAATAATTCCATTTTCTTCAACATGGCTATTTTCTTCTATTTTAACTGTACAACTTTGTTTATCATTTAATTCATCATCACATGTTTCTTTCTGTGGTTGTTGCTGTAAAATTGCACTACTATCACATTCATCCATATCGTCGTCATCTTTCATTGATTCTTTATATAGTTTAAAATGAGCTAAACAAAAAAAAGAGTTAATGAATATAACTGAGCTTCTAATATGTTATACACGCATGACATACCATTTGCAGAAAAATGTTCCAATTCTTCTGGATCCATTTCGATATCAGCCAAAACGACAGGCAATTGCATCTGCAACAATTTCTAAAAATCGAAATGACACTATACAGAAATATCACACAAAGAGTATTCTGGTAAGCAAGAAAATGGTTGCTCACACATGAATATACTCTATTGAGACTTTAGTCAATGACAATTTTTTTTTGACTTTCCATATATTGCTAAGCCCGTAGGCTGTTACAAAAACAGGTTAGTTCACAGCAGACTAGTAATTACAGTTATAAACCCAAAAAATGCAAATTTGTAAGAAAAATCTTACATTTGGGGAGAGGTAGAGATACATTGATTTAAAAATTAAGTTGAGAGTTACGACAACCGAGCATATATACGAACTGAATAACACACTGAACTACATGAATTAGAAAAAGGTGAATTATAACACAGTTATGTACGTTTTAATTTTACACAATACAGAGGAAAAAATAAATGAAAACGAAAATAACTTCTCTCTGTTCCTTGTCTTCTCTATCATCGACAAAGGCTATCATGATACAAGCGCTGACTCATGAGTTTTTCTTTGCCTTAATAGTGTCCTGTTTTCAATCTTTTAGCTCGGCGATAATAGTTCCAGTAACTAATACATCTTCTAAGATAGGCGAGTTGCACAAATCAGAATCGTTAAAGCGCGATAATCTCCTTTTTAAATATTTAATAACATAGTAGTCTAACTACTCCTCCTTACATAGGTCAAAAAGTTTCTCGGTATCAGCATAAGGACATCCATGCACAAAGCGAATTTCCACCTCAAACTTCCTATTTAGTAATTTGACGAGAGTCCGTAGTGGAAAAAGGTATAAAGGGGGAAAGAGCCACGAGAAAAACGGAAATGATACACGAAAAAACCCTGCTTACTTGAACCTTGTTTACATTTTGATAGCCACCTTAGTTTAACAAAAGATTTTTGAATTTTGCCTGCTGTGTTGTTTCGGATGGGTTTTACAGGCAGCTTTTCTGACCAACTAAATCACAGATATTTAAAAGTTATGATTTGCTCCGACTTAGAATCCACCATTGACAAAGAAATAGTGAATCTTTTAATCTGGGAATGAAATATCTGAAAAACTGTTTTACTATAATTGATAAGTTGTTCATTGTCTATCGAGTGCTGAAGAATTCTACTGCTTATTCTCTGCCTCTTCCCTTCTAGATATCTTAACATCTGCCTTAACGTAGGTCTCAGTGGGATTAATGCCACTTGCAGGTCATCTGCAAAGACCCTGCTTAGGTGGGCACCCAACTTATTAGTCAGATAACGATAAAAAATAATGAGTAAAATAGGCGAGAGTGAGCTACCTTGAGATGAACTTATTTCGAGCACAAAAATATTTGAGCCACACTTTCCAAAAATAGCTCTGGCTTGTCTGTCTCATAACCAGTTCCAGACTGTCTTTAAAAAATTTAACAACATTCCCAACTTAAACAACTTAATAATAATTTCGTGAGCAACTTTGTCATAAACTATTTTGTAATCAACATATAGACCAGCGGGGGCATATTCCACTTAGATCATTATCAATGGCTTGATACATAGACAATACTCTAGTTGGTAGCAGACACTCGGACGCAAGCCGGATTGTTTAGGCGGAAGAATCGAATTGCTGTCTGAGCATTCTTTAATTCTTCGAAAAAGAATTTTCTCGTCTATTTTTCAATGGATTGACGACAAAGGGATTGGTCTGGTTTGCTCACACGGAGGGATCCCTGATTTCAGTTTATTTAAAACGACAAAGTTAGAGACTTTCCATGGTTGAATGAAATCCGACACTTTGAACCAACCATTAAAACAGCTTACAATACATTCAACATAACTTATTGACAAAAATTTTTAGCCTAAAATTTGATATAAAGTCAAATCCCGATGATTTTTTGCTTTCAAACCTTTCATATACTTGTTTACTTCTACTACTATTGTTAAACGGATTGGCTCTGTACAGTTTGGGCTCTGTTCGATTAGTTTTAAAGTTTTTATTATACGTTTAGAAGCCTTAAATTTTATTACACAATTCTTTCATGTTATTATTTTTTGTGTTCGTGATTTTGTGAAAATTTTATTGAATTTTCCTTCTTTCTTTATCGGTATCCACCTGCACCGTTATCAGTCCTGTTGTTTCAGACAATGTTGTCCTTTTATTTTTGATGATGTTACAGAAATAAATTATAATGGATTTCACATAGAATGTGTTAATACAGACACACATAACAGTAGAAAGGGACGTTTGCCCCTCTCTCTCTCTCTCTCTCTCTCTTTCTCTCCCAGTTTTGTAATACGATAGCAGATCTTAGTTCGAAACAAAAATAATTGGCATTAAAATGTTAAAAGTATTGATTAATTCATAGGCGTGAAAAAAAACTGGGCATACACACACACACACACACTGTTAGTAAGAAATTTCTTCATCCTATGTTTTTTTTTCAGGTCAACAGATAGTCTCCTTCTGATCTTTTTTTATTTCTTCCTTGATTTTTCTGATCTGATCATCAATTTTCTCTTACCTATGATAACAATATTATCACGCAGAGTTTGTACTTATAATGGATAAACACAAGTTAAATCATTGTGGTTATTCAGGAAAAGCAATCAGACAGAGAGTAAAAGAAGATGAGGAAAAAATCAGCATGACAACATTGAAGAATATTTATTATTCAACAGTTGATTATTAACAGTGGCTTCATTTATGAAATAACATCACATTTGTTACAATTTTAAATTAGGATATTGTAATCATAATAGTATGAATATGTAGAACTAATAACAAAAACAATTTAACTTTCGTATACCTCTACCACTCTCATCCCTATTAATCTATTTATGAAAAAACGAATTTTGTGATTTTAACATGTCTATACTCTTCTGATTAGGTCAAAAAGTCAACTTCGAGTTTTGGAATGTTTTTCTTTTATCATAGTATTTAAACTGTTATTTGATAAAAATGATGATAGAGTACATGAATTTTTTTCCGCATGTCCACACTTTAAAATGTTCTTTCTTTCTTCTTCTCTATTCACAATCCAATCTTCAAGCAATTTTTCTACAAGTTCAATAGTTTATTTCTAATGCAACTGTACAGAAGATGCCAGTGTGCAAACTGAAAAAGAAAAACTCATTAATCTCTTTTTCTCTATTTTACTGTAGGTTCATCCATTTTAGCTCGTTTCTATCTCTTTCGGTTTCTATTTATTTTTTCTGTTAAAAAACTTTCAGCACATCTTATTCTATTTACGTATCTACTCGAACAAAATACAAAGAAAAAATGATAGATAAAAATAATTAAGAGGACAAGTTCGAGTTCAGGATTTCTTTTTCTTTTTTTTTTTTTCAAAAAAAAAACATAGAAAAACGGTTTAAAAGAGAACGGTATGCGCATCTTGTAAACTACTTGCGCACGTCTAAAAATGTTTTCCTCCCTTCTTTCTTTCGTCAAAAATCAAATTTGTTACATTTTCAGATGAATTTCCGAGTAGATGCGCTATTCTTTCTCTTTCTTTTTGCCTCTCTTTCTCTCTCTTTCTATGCTATGCTTTTTGACATATTCTATTTCTAACTAAGACATGCTTTTCAACAGAATATAGAAAAAGCAAGCAGAATATTATTAAATAATACAATTATTTCGAAAGAAATAGAAAGACGTCTGTTCTAAGAACACTGATTTACATAAATAAAATACATATAGAGAAAAATCAATAACAATATTTTTACTTGCAGTTCATTCAGCCATACTTATACAAAGTAAATTATGTTTTGTTTTAGATTTAAACTCAAAAAACTGTGTTAGCATAGAGGATTCTTTTTTGATTGCAGATAGACAGGTGAAATAGTTCAAAAATACTACGTATGTTCAAATTTTATTTCGAATATATAGAAAATTTTCTGTATCAATTCATCTCTTACCGTAAAAAATTTTTTCATTATTTTGATGAAAAATTCTTGAACGAATGAAATATTTTTATTTCTTACCTGTTCAATTGTGCGTCTTTTCTATTCTCTTTTCTCGCATTTGAGTTTGATTCGTTTATATTTAAAATGTCACTTTTTTTTTCATACACACACCTTTTCAATAATTGGGTACACTAAGCTGACACGAGAAATATTTTACACAAATAGCAAAATTTCTCGATGTTATATGAGTAAAAAAAAAAATGGATGGTTTAGTTCTTATTATATGAGAATAGAATTCAAATAAATGTCAAGTCTGAAAAGTTGTTCTCTATTTCTTTCTTTTTTTTTTTTTGACGGTATGCATCTCTCCTTTTCCGTGAGTTTCGATGATGAACAGTCGAGATAGAGAAAAGAGAAGAAAAAAAAGTACCAACACCGTGCCTATACGTTGATGATGATAAGCACCGTAAATGAAAGAGAATAGAATGAACATTTTTTCTCCTATAGTCCCGCTCACCGGGTGACAAAAAAAAAAGTTAGAAAAAAAAAACTATGAGAGAAACAAAGAAAAAGAAGAAAAAAAAGATAATATGTTCCGTACGCAATGCGGTGTAAAAAAAGATCCGTCTTATTCGGTGAGCATCGGTGAGACGATGGTTGGTTCAACCAAAGACTTTCGTTCAAGAATATAACACACATATCCGACAAAAAAGAGACAAAAAAAAAGTTTCTCTTTTTTTTTTTCAAGAACCAGTCAAATTGAAGATTAGATAGAGATATGATAAAAAAAAAACAAGGAGAAGAAGAAATAGATTATTTGTTCAAGACACGGGTACCAGCAACTAATGAAAGTAAAAGTAGAAATACGAAGTGCCGACCAAAAACGAAAGATGTGAAAATGGAACAGAAATGTACATGGGTATGGCTTTTCATACTCGTTCAATCTTCCTGTTGAGTATAGATATGGATCAGTTTGCACATCTCTAGTCAGAGTTAATAGATTCGAATCAAATAAGTCTAGATATGATTTGATATGATGTGTAAAGCAAATACTTTTAAACAATCTTGAAAACATAAAATGCTACCAATAAATATCAAAAATTTTAATTATTTTAAGGACATGTGTTTAGCATAA